CGCGCTTGACATGTCAAAATCTTGCTTCCGCACACTATGATTTAGGAGATGGGTGGAAATCTCGCCCGCTGCCGTCGGACAGATTCCGATGCATATGATTGAGGCCCCTCGAGTATACATGTACCTAAGGTACCAACAAGTGCAGACTGCATGCTCATGGCCTTGGGCCGCGGTGCAGCAGCATGTACGCGTTCGAGATCGGACTCGTAAAGGTAACGCAAAGGATCGTCCTGACTCCTAGCAGTCTTGTGTACTAGCATCAGTGCTCCTCCTCGCTTGCAGACCACACACTGCGAGGCCGAGGGCAACCCCATCGTTACACGAGCCGAGATTACTCATTTCATCGATCGAAGCTGTGCGATCGTACTGCACATCGCCAGATTGACGAGCTGTTGGTCCCTTTGCGCTGGCCTTTGACGCCATACCGTCTGACAATCTCCTCACAGGCCACTCAGCCGCGGGTACAAACGCCGGTGGTTCTCCTCAACAACCCACAGCCGCGCAGGAACAAACGCAGCTAGCACAACGATGCCAGGATGCGTTTGTACGAATCGATAAAGACCGTTGAAAATAATCTCCGCGTCGATCTGCTCGCACCTGGGCAGACCGTGGCCAGCATGCCCCGTTTCGTCTCCACACCTAACGTTGCAGTGTCTCATTCGTTGCGGCCCAAAATTGCTTCCCCTTTGGGAAGCAACACCATCGTTGCAACAACATTCATGCGCATTGAAGATCGACTTCACGCCGCCACGCACACGGGGGGCAGCTGAAGCAAACAGGGTGAGGAATTTCAAATCAGTCCCTTGCTATGGCCAGCCATGTAGTCATGCCTTCTCCTGGTGGCGTAGTCGGCCTCTGATCTGGAATCGAAGATGCAAGCCATTCTGGTGTTCTCAAGTTTGGTTCAACTGCAAGTCTCTGCGATCATCTCATCAGGTTTCCTGCGGAGGTTTCCACTCTCGCTGTTCTCCGTGACACGGTCGTCGCGCGAACAGCTAGTGCGTAGTCGCCGAGGGAAGTACTACAACTCAGCTTCCTCATTGCCCCATGTGGCAACTTCAAACCTCCTGACATGACAGCTTGGAGATACTACTATAGCCAGGTACACTGCTGTATCATAGCATGCATGAGGTAGGGTTGACCTTACAGTACTCTCGGCCACGCCTCAGGTACTTCTTCGGGCAAGCCGGAAGGACACGTAACGGCGAGCTAGTGATCCTTGGATGGTGTTCGCGCAGCGACTGCACAGCCTCACGACCGCAGCCTCACCTTCGGAGATAGAAAATACTGCCAAGACCGATACAAAGGGCTGTGCTCCTGAGCATGGCAGATACCGACGCCATCGCACCTCACGTGGCCTTCTAGATGCACAACCTCGGTCTGCTTGGCGGGCTGTCCCTGGTACCATTCTTTCAAGCTGCACCAAGACCTCCATCAGAATGAACGGCGAACACACACGGCGAGAGGGATTTGAAATCGCATAGGAGGGATTGGAAATGGAATGTAGAATCTATGTGACATGTAGGGCGTGGTAGCGAAATCCTGCAGTGCAGCATGCAGGTCCATTGATGAGTCATCTCGCCCACGTATTTACAAAGCCAAAGCGATACTGAACACCAAACATCAATCTGTCATTTCAGATATTTTGACCATGGCGTCCGCCTCACAGCTCGACTTCGTGACCGTGGATGTCTTCACCTCGCAGCCATACGGCGGAAATCCGCTGGCCATTGTGCGCATCCCGCCTGGCCGGACTTTAAGCCAGGAACAAAAGCAAACAATCGCGCGAGAGTTCAACCTATCGGAGACGACCTTCTTGCACGAACACGCGGATGGTGCGGCAGAGGACCAATGGACCGTCGACATCTTCATGACCTCGCGAGAACTGCCGTTCGCCGGACACCCTACCGTGGGCACGGCCTGCTATGTCTTGGGAAGGACGGCTCGGGAGCGTGGGGTCAGCAGCGGTGTCATGGAAGCGAGCTTCAACCTGAAAGCTGGGAGGGTCGGGCTGCGGTACGATTGCGGCAAGAAGACGGCGAAAGCTTCGATCCCTCATGACGTGTATGTTCCTGCATTTGACATTGTCCCCCCTCGGCCTGTCTAGAGTGTCTGCATCACGATGGTTAGTTCGGGCTGTTCCAGACCCACGGTCTGAGAGCGATTCGGCGACCTGTGATGCTGCAGGTGTGTATACATGTAAGCTAACCAATGCAGTCATATCCACAATAAGAGGTACACCAAGGACGACTTGTTCGCTCTCCAGCCGCAATTGGCTGAAGCCCATCGGCAAGGCAAAGTTAAAGTCAAAGATGACCATGCCATCGTCTCGATAGTCAAAGGCATGACATTTGTTCTGGTCGAACTGGAATCTGAAGAGGCACTGAGCATGGTGTCGCTAGCTGGCCAGTCTCTCTCCGTCGAGGGCCTGGATCAGGGCTGGGACGAGACGTTCATTGGGACATATTTCTTTGTTCGGGCGGGAACGAGCGACCATGGCGTGACGAAGCTAAGGACGAGGATGATCGAGGGTCCGTTGGAAGATCCAGCTACCGGTAGCGCCGCCAGCGATTTGGCCGCATATTTGTCGCAGACAGCAGGAGAGGCATCCAAGACGTTCAAGTACGAGATTATCCAGGGCGTAGAGATGGGGAGACGAAGCGAGATCTTCATCGAGGTCGAGATGAACGAGGACAGGAGTGTTGCGCAGCTTTTCTTGGAAGGCAGCGCAGTACAGGTCATGGAGGGGCGGTTGACTGTCTAAGTCTGTCGTATTTGCGATGGTTCTCGTTCGAGAGTAGGTTCCCGTGTGGTCATCGTAGGCGTTGCAGAGGTTGAGAGTGGCCTGTATGGCATAGTCATCGCAGCAATAGTAAATGAGATGGGTGGCAGAGAGAGTACGACATCGCGCACCATTGGATCGTTATGAGTATGCAAGACCACAGACCCGAAAGAAGGCGTATGTACAGTCGATACCTGTAGACCTGCTTAATCTTGTTAACATGAGAAAAGCCCCAGATTCATTGTAGTCCCTCGTCGATGGCTGCGCGGCACAGCCGATGGTGGGATGACTGATCATCATCACCGTCGAGCTGTGGATTGGCGGTCGTGATGATTGTGATAGAGCCTGGGGGTTGACTGTATGGAAGTATGGAAGACAATAGTTCCGACAGAACACATATGCGCAGTCGCACCCGTTAACCTGCCCGGACTTGTCAACGTAGAGGAGGTTCCGACTGCCTCGTACTTCTTCTTTGAAGGCCACACAGTACGGACGATAGTGGGGTGGCTGATCATCTGGAATGGAGAGCAGTACTGTCTGTCTCAGAGAGCTGTTCGGGTTCTCATGATCGTCATGAAGCTGTGCGTTGACGGTCGTGATGATTGTGGTCGGGTTCAGGAGTTGACCATCTGAGGGTAGCGAAGTTGATACATTCGAAAGAACGCGTGTGTATAGTCGCCGCTCGTAAGCCTCCTTGTGACAGTTGAGATGAAGTAGGACCGAAGGTGTCGCGACAACTCCTCGAAGATGGCGCGGTACAGTTCATGGAAGAGACAGATCCGAAAAAGAGAATGCACGTAAGCCTGCTTGAGATTGTTAATCAGAGAATCCCAACCTCGAGGATTTGCGTCACAGAGACTGGAACCTGAGGAGTTTCTGCGGGTGTTGGTTACAGATGTAGATCCTCCGTGCCTGAAGACACCTCCTGCCTCAGGCAAGCCGAGCGACCCGTGGACACCAAGCCATAGACGGCAACCCTGATTCCGTAATCCTTCACGACGTTGAAGGAGCGAACGTGTAGCGGGGTTTGACAGGAGGTGTCTCAGTTTCTTTTGCCGCGAGCACGGTTATTGAGTGTGGGTCAAGCGCAGCATCATCGCTTGCAGATTCGATGGAGCAGCGTGCAGATCTTCGAGAATGGGTATACAAACTCTTGTTAATGGTGGAGAAGTACGTCGGTACGTCGCCATGTTGTCTGGGCGCCGCGTCCACAGTGGAGTTGGTGAGTGGGCGTGACAACTTGGCACGGCAACATCCCAAACAGCAAACATCGATCTTTATCGATCTCGGATTAAGAATTGCCGCCATCGCATGTTGTCGCAGAGAGGACCGATTGCCTCTGGCATCCAACAGAGTGCGTGCAGATGCAGGATGCGGACTTGCTACTCCGTGGTCCTTCAACTGTCACCTGTCACATCCGTCAAATCGAGACAGTGACAGCACGAACCAACCTTGCTCGAGTACGTCGCACATCGCTTCCGACAACTCAGTGAGGCTCATGGAGGAGGCGTGGGTCGCAAAGTGGGCCGCAGCGAGTAAACCAAATTTCCCCGCTGGCGTTGCGGTGGTGACGAACGGATATCGGAAGTCAGTCACACAGTCCTGCCGTGCATTCGGTTGCTGTTATGGCGCATGGGAAGGCATCATAGGAGTTTGAGCGTGTCCTCCTCAAAATTTAGAAGATGCCTGGCTCGAGCCTGAAAGGCGGCTAGCGCATCTCGTTTGGGTTAGCGCCATTGGGGTTCTTGCACACCTCTTACACGAACCGTTTCTCGGACCTCCTCTTCAATGCCTGGCGCATTCTCGTTCCGGAGAGGCTGCCATGCCAGCCTCAGTCAGTGGCAGGGCGCCAGTTGATGCCAGCGCCCCGTGCGCGACGTTATCGATGTCGGTATGGGTGGGTTTGAGACGTCTCTGCCTTCATCGTGGGTTTCATGCCCGAGGAACCACGAGCCGCCTTACCAGGTTGCTCTTTGCCTTGTATTCGCTCGCCAAGGACTTAAGGCAATGCGATTCCTCAGATATCTTGCTTTCCTCACCATCATCAGTCGCTTGTTCCATTACAAACTCCGGTTCTGCAGTTGAGGGTTACATTCCTTTCTCTTCCTCTTAATTCTTCATTCAGATTACGTTGAACGTATCTGCCTTTTTTGTAATCCACCGCTAGCCGGACTCCACTCTTTTATCAACCTTAACTTCTTTTCCTGAAGCTATCATCATGCGCTTCTCAACCCTCATCCCTATGCTGCTTGCAGCCGGTGTTGCCAATGCCCAGTTTGGCGGCCAAGGTGGAAACAACGGTCAGAACAACGGTCAGAACAACGGTCAGAACGGCGGCAACAACGGACAGAACAACGGCCAGAACGGAGGCAACAATGGCCAGAACAACGGTCAGAACAACGGTGGTAACAACGGAGGCAACAACGGCGGTGGTGGTGGTAACCTAGCCCTCAACCCTGATGTTGTTCAAACCGCCAGTCAGTCCGATGGATTCGACCAGGGCCAGGAAGATGGACAAGCCGCGTCTCTCACGTATGTTGGCACGCATGTCTTTTCACAGATCCTTTGCTAACTTGACCAGTGACCAAGCCAACTTCATCAACTTCTGCCAGGGCAAGACCCTCACCAACGGTCTCCAGGTCAAGGAGGGATCCTGCAACGGTATCGGTAAGTTCAGACAATCAAGCCTGCTCCAGAGGAAAGGTGCTAACATTCAAATAGTCATGGGAGACATTCCTGGTGTCGGCAACATGATCTCTGCGGTATTCACCAACCCCCAGAACGGCGACACAAACATCCAAGAAGGTGAGCCGATCGACTTCTCCGTCAAGATTACCAACTTGGAGGCTGGATCTTTCACCAACCCCGACAACACCTACTACGCTGCCCCACAGACGCTCCAGGGAGGCAATGTCGTTGGCCACACCCATATTTCTGTCCAGGACATGGGCAATGACGCCAACAACCCCCCGGACGCTCAGAACTTTGCTTTCTTCAAGGGAATCAACGATGCTGGTGACGGCAACGGCCTTCTCACTGCCAGCCTTGCTGCTGGTCTCCCTGCCGGTAACTACCGTGCTTGCTCTATCACCTCTGCCTCCAACCATCAGCCTGTTGTCATGCCTGTCGCTCAACGTGGTCCTCAGGATGACTGTGTGAGGTTCACTGTTGGCGGTGGCGGCGGAGGCGGCAACAACGGCGGCAACAATGGCCAGAACAACGGCCAGAACAACGGTCAGAACAACGGTCAGAACAACGGTCAGCAAGGTGGTCAACAGGGAGGACAGCAGGGCGGCCAGCAGGGCGGTCAACAAGGCGGCCAGCAGGGCGGTCAACAAGGCGGCCAGCAAGGAGGCCAGCAGGGCGGTCAAGGCGGCCAGGGAGGACAGGGCGGCTTCGGTGGCTTCGGACGTGGACGTGGACGCGGACGCTTCAACCGCCGCAGCTTTGCAGCCCGCGACTTCGTTGCTTGAACACATCACGGAACCCGGGAGAATGATGAGATAGTTGTTGAGGGGCTTGGGGTTTAAGGCGGTAGACGCAGTAATGGTGCTTTCCTTTTTTGATGACAACTTCTACCACTGCAGCAACATAGAACGCACTTTCTGCCCTAGAGGGGCACGGAAGGTCACTCTACGGAGATTGAAGCGAAGCGCTTCATTGGACTGGTTCTGAGGGCGCTGTTTCTTTACCCGGCGCTTAGTTACAACTTATGAAATGTACAACTATTGAATGTGTTTTCCACAGATCTTTTCTTCAGTTTGTCTCAGGCTTTGTGGATCGCCAGTATGCGCATTAGATTCCAAGATCTGGGCTTCAAGGGCCTGCGACGCATTGAAGGCGACGAGACGTTGCTGTCTCAGGCTGCTGATCAGGCACGGAAAGATTTCGAGCGGCCATGCACGTGTGTTTCCAGTGCTGCCAAGTCCTCACTTATGATACTTGGTGGGTATGACCCAACCGAGGCATGTCGTCATTTCGTAAGCTGAGTAGACAAGCCCTCTTTGAGACATGCTAACATCCGCGTTAAACGATCCATCAGCACCTGGATGTTTGACAACTTCGCCGTACACTCGAAATAGACTTTTCTTCCTGTAGTTTAGCGTATGGATGTTCCTTTCCGCGTATATAGGCATGCGTCAGCGCCTGACTAGTTTAGTGCGGGCTGTGCTACCACGGAATGTTAGGCCTACCACGGGTGACTCAACAGTTCAAGTCGTCAATATATGGCTTCGACAGCGTCTTGCACAAACGAAATTCTTATAACAACGCAGCATGACGCCAACTGCAGCAACTGGACAACCCCAATGCTCATCCATAGGGCGAGCACCCTCGTCAGCCTTACCTACTGAACTGTGGCTACTCATCCTCGAACAAACGAGTATCCAAGAAGCCAGTCATCTCTGGCTCACAGTACGCCGCATATCGCGACAGTTCAGGGATATTGTTGAGAGGCTGTTCAGTTCAAGCTACCTCACAGCGTTCGCCATGACGCTTTCACTCCCGCGCCGCGATCCCACTTCTGGAGCTCTGCTATGGCCCGGTACACCAATACCCCGCGCTCAAATGAATATGTCGTTCAACGGCCTTAGTTCCGATGGCCGGTACATCTATTTCAGATCTCCGAGTGTACTCAACGAAGGAACACGTGTGGAAAGCGTTGAAGAGCTCAAGAACACCTCTGTGCTACCGCTGGAGAGACTAGAGGCCGCTACAGTGTGGGTGCATTTCACTCAAAACCAGTTGACCGGTCTCCAAATGCATGTACCACGACATGTGAGCTGGGACAGAGAACAGGGAGCATGGATCTGGAAGTTGGAGTGGAAGAATCTCATGACGCAGTTCTACGAGAAGAAAAGAGAGCAGAGACTGGCGAAGGCGCCAATCAGATCCATGCCAGGTCGGCAAAGATGGTCGAAGAGAGGACACGAAGGCGCATGAGACCGGGTTCATCAAGCGATCAATCGCGCGCTTCCGTCTTGAGATGAGAGCCGCACCCTTAGCTTCGTCGACAAGGCTTCAATCTGGCTGGTCGCTGAGTCTGGGCCGATGCGATTACGCGTCTCTTCCGACAAACCATGAAACAGAGTAGCCAATGAAGACGACTTCCAAACTGGTGCTTGGCTTCTTCTCCCTTTTGCGATCGTTGCACATACCAAGACTAAGCTTCCCACAAGCGATACCGCGGGCAACGTAATCCAAGCCCAGCGTATCTCCACAAAACGCTCTGAGCTCCATGCCGTGCCATCTATTCGCTTCGTGCCGGAAAATCGTGATCTCATGTCATTTGTCATGGCCTTCGTGAGGTTGGTGAGATAGCCTCCGAAGTCGTGAGGTGCGATTTGGTGAAAGCGCCATATGCCAGAGTAAAGCCCGAACTCGTACGCAGGATCTTGATAGAGGAAAAAGGGAAGATCCGATAAAATCCAGTCACGGAGGCGTTGCGTAGTACCATTAAGGATCTGGAATGTACTGTTCGATCCCAAACTAGCAGTTATGGGCCAAGGGCTGTCTTCGTCTAGTGACTCCGGTTGTATGACGATAGTGTCTAATACGGATTCCTGCAAGGAACCGCCAACAAAGCGAGATTCGATAATTTGAGCATTCCCTGAATTCAAGAACTCTAGTCAGCTAGCCATTCAGGCGAAATGGAGGCGTAACTTCACTTACACGTGATCAAGCATTCCAGCAATACCGGTGTTGAGTTCTTGAGCGTCGCTTCCGGACCTCCGGGAGTGTAACCTATGTAGAAATCCAAGATTGGTAGAGTCGAGTTGCCGAAGACCGTGCTGTTCCAGTAATTGTTGCCTGCCGGCATGAGATCAAGAGTTTCGACCAGTATTGTCGACAAGGTGATCACCTTACGAAAGCCTAAGCTACCTTCTACACCAGTGACAAACGTATTGTTCACTTTGTAGCCGCAGGGATCCGTCGCTATAACACCTCCTTGTGAAAACGGTATATCAGTGTGATTCTTGCAATGGTACTCAAGCAGATAAGACACGTCTTGACAGCTATGGCCAACACCAAGCGTGGCATATGTAGGCCACGTACAATTAGCCGTGGAGCACTGCGTCGTGGGGGGACTCAGGTCCGCGTCCGGGTTATTGAATATATTGTCAATCGCCACAGTCATTGCCGGGTCTCTACCATTGTTACAGCTTCCTTGGCGGGTGCTGACCGGAAAATGGGGTATAAAAGTCGATGCTGCCCATATTGAACCAGGTCCAACGGCTACCATCCGATCGGGATAAGCAACAATCTGTTGGAAGAACGGCTCAAATGCCAGGCCTAGTATGGTAATGAGGGCAGCCAATGAGACAAGATGTCTACGCGGTTGTGAGCAAGCAGAGCGATGGTACTGGAAGTAGTAAGAGCGCTTACCTGCACCTTGCCCTGATAAGAAGCATGGCTGCACCCCAAGGCCCACGACTGGCGGCATCGAAAAGTTGGAAATCCCACAGTGCAGCTTCTTCCTGAAACCAAATCCACTTCAACTGTCCAATGGCTTCGGAAATCGGTAGTAATAATGCTGCCTTGGAGACGGCAGCAAAGACGGCAACGTATGCGTTGAGCGTAATGCCTGTCACTAAGTACTCTGGCTGCCGTTTGCCATCATAATACCAGAGCACACCTATGATAGCCGCCATGCAGCCGAAACTGACAACCCAGCTAAGTAGCTCCCACCACCACCAATCAGTGACGATTCGGTCGTAGAACGTTGTTGATGCTCGAATGAGGGGCCGGTCTTTTGTGTCACTATCTTGATCTAGGGAAGCTGTGGGCGCGGAATGAAACATGTCGGTAAAATGGAAGATAGAAAACTCTCCAGGAGCATGGATTGAACAGTAAGAAGCATCATGTCCTCTTATTGATATGGGGTATTGCTACTGCGCCGCATCTCAGGGTTACATGCAGGCAAGTCGGAAACTAGTAGGGCGCATAGTATCACTTCGCGCCTCACCTACTTGTAACAGGCATAAGATCCACCCGCCAATAACTTAATTGGCGGATGTCTGGCTCGAACTCATGAAATCGCTGTCTCAAGCGCCGAGGTGGGTTATTGTTCAAGTAAGCGCCGGCCGCCAGGTCTATCCACAATAAAGCGCAACGGGAACCGCATGCTCTTGCATTCTTAGAGAAAGGGCCGTGCTTCTCTTTCCTGTCTCATGGGTTGGTCATGAAATTGATGATGTAGTGGTGTTGTTCTCAGGTCATGAACCGATAGCCTTTGCAGAAGCCATTCGCTGAGCGACCAAGCTAAAGACAGCGATTGATGACATGAATATGGCAAGGTTGTAAAACTGTTATTGTGTTAGCCCACCAGATGACCGAACTGATACTGATAGAGAAAGCATACGGCCTTCCTCGAGTACGCGCTCTCCTCCGCCTCGCTGCGCGCCTCCACAAAGAGTCGACGTAGATTAGGTAAATTGGAAGGCTGCGATCCGAAGTCAGACTTCAGCGTCATACGATTTGTGTTGGTTGTTGCATTCGACTTACCATGCTGCTACGCCGATGATGAGAGTGGGAGCGTCGAAGCATTTCAGGGCTGGGCTGCGGGCCCGGGGCGGCGCACAGACCGCATCATCAAGGTGGCAGTCTGGCAATCGCGAAGCTCCACCAACATTGACCCAACCCGCACTTCACCTTCACCCACGTCCCTCGATTCAGAGACGCCGACTTCTCGACACCCAGGATAAATCGCCAAAGAAGTTTGCGCTTCCCAATACCTCGGCCTTGTAGGGAGCAGGCTCCAGATTCCACGAGCCGGAGTCGGAGGGGTTTGGCTGAGCGATTAGCCTGTACGGTCCTACAGAGATGGCTGTTAATAGGATAAGAGGCGCATTTGCGCCCCCGCGCAAAGGAGAGACGTTCGAATTGAGGGCGGGTCTGGTGTATGAATCCCCCCAAGCCAGTGTAGCGATTCCCATCTGACCATTGCACCAGATCTCAATATGCCTACGAACGGTGAGCGCCTGGAACTGCGAGGACTACACTGGGGGTATACTAAGACTGCGGCAGGAAAGAAGCCATCCAGAAGACTATCATGTCCATGACGCTGGGCAAAGATGTCTCGGCCCTCTTCCCTGACGTCCTGAAGAACATTGCGACTGCCGACCTTGACCAGAAGAAGCTGGTATATCTATACCTCATGTACGTCCAAGTTCTGGTTGCGATTCAGGTGGAAATTAACAAAATACTTAGGAACTACGCAAAGTCACACCCCGACCTCTGCATTCTCGCCGTAAACACCTTCGTACAAGACTCCGAAGACGCGAACCCGCTCATACGAGCATTGGCGATCCGAACCATGGGCTGCATCCGCGTCGATAAAATGACAGACTATATGGAGGAACCGTTGCGGAAGACACTCAGAGACGAATCTCCATACGTACGGAAAACAGCAGCACTTTGTGTCGCTAAGCTTTTCGACCTCGCACCCTCCATGTGCATCGAGAATGGCTTCCTG